TGGGGGAAAAACAGCTATGAAGTTGTGAGCTAAGTCCATCCACGTTCAATAGACTCTTGTCAACCTGGGTTGAAACCTGGTTGGCCAGCAGTATGGCAAGACCTGGGGACTCCTGGGCCCAGAGACAGGGACATGACCACAGAGGACTAGAGTGGAGAGTGAAGCACCCAGCTGATAAGAAGTGAGGGGAAATGCACAAGAACACCTATACTTGCAGATAGTACCCACTTGACCTGGCTTCAATGGCTGAATGATTAAAACTCAACTAGAAGGAGAAAGAAGAAGAAAAAAGAACAGTCTGCTGCAATTCGATGAACTTGATTTATACTTATGGATGTAGTAGCTCAAAAGAGGGAACAAATCTTTATAGAGAGGATCATTCCCACCCCCTCAGTACACAGGGTTGACAGGGATGGGCAACGTAGACACTGGCTATCCAAAATGGTGGGGGCTACAAAGGCAAGAAGTGACTGGCTTACAAGCTTTCAAGAGGGAGCCTAGTTCCAGAGGGTGCGGGGGAAGGTGGAATCTTCACTGAGTGGTTTCCAACCTGTCTGAACGGGGCTGTTGAAATGAGATGCGGATAAGACTCTTGTAGTTCAGTAGTGAATAATTGCTATCAGGACTGACTGTGAGCGTTGAAAATGTCAAGGTAGATGTTTTGTAACAAAAGGAGGAGAGTGGTTGATTTTGCAGTCCAGGAGCAGAGGTCCCTGGGACTATCAAGGGAGAAGAGTGGAGTGTGGGACCCTATCCAGAGAAGCAGTGACGCCAGAGAAGGAGGCAGAGAAGATGATGTGGAGTGATGGAGTGGCTGGAGACTCTAGACTCAGGGAGGGAGAGGGGCTGTGTGCTGACAGGCGGTGGGGAGGCAGGCTTGTGGGGTGTACCCTTTGGTTATGTGATGATGCATGGAGGGATTGTAATCATTGCATTGAAACAAAATACCATAGGATGAATGTATAACTATCACATCATTCATAGTAAAAACTTTTAAAAAAACAAAAAAGCCAGTTGTCAGAGTCGATTTGAACTCAAGACAGCCCCATGAGTTTCAGAGTAGAACTGCACTGCACAGCGTTTTCAATGGCTGTGACCTTTCTGAAGTGGATTGATGGGCCTACCTTCTGAGGTCCTCTGGGTGGATTTGAACCACCAGCCCTTCAGTTAGTAGCTGAGCACTTAACAGCTTGTGCCACCCAGAGACTCCTTATAATTAACTACATGCTTAAATTAAATTTATAGAATATAATTATGATGTATGTGTGACACCATGGCTACAACAGTGGGCTCAAACATGGCAAGAGTTGTAAGGATGGCTCAGGACCAGCAGTCTTTCATTCTGTTGTCCACGGAGACGCTATGTGTCAGAACAGACTCCATGGCACCTAACAACAACATTAATGTGTGTCTATAATTCAATACCTGCCCGAGGCTTACATGCTAACTCACTTTGTCATCCCAACAGAGATGTACAATCCTCTGAGCTCATAATTTTGTCTTTGCTGCCAGGAAGCACAAAGCTGGATTTGGTGTGCTATAAGCAATTATATCATCCCAGGTCTCCCTATCTCTCTGTCTTTCCTTTTTTAGCTGCTTTTAATAATTTTCTCTTTTTTAGTTATGTCTCATTTTTTAAAATACTTTACATTTGAGAATAGGTGAGCTACAAATGATTCTTCCTATAAATATGAGTATTTAACCAAAAAGCTTAGACACATTGATCCTTAGCACTGAAGAGAAAATTTTAAAATTATATAAAGTTTTGTTGGCATTTATTATCATTAATGGGGATAGTATGGTTTGGTCAAATTCTGATTGGTTGAAAATTCATTTATATTATCACTCATCACAAAAAACATGTAAAGTAAA